TTAATATACAAATGAATTGTGCATCTAAAGTGAATATTCAAATATAATTTAATTGTTAAGGTAACTCACTGCCCAAATTCCGATAGATCCATCATCATGACTTGAAAATAATTAATTTTCTTTTTCACTTAAGATCAAACACCAATCAGTAGAAACAGTTTCTGAAGATTTGAAGGATTCCCATTAATCAGAATTTCTAGATTCTTTCCAAGATATTAGTTTATCATCCCCACTGCATCTAGATATAAACCAGTTGAATTTTTTGCTAAAAACTATTGAATAAACCTAATTGTTGTGACCGTTCAATATATGACCTGAACCTATAGGTAAACTTTCTTTTAATTTCCAAACCTTAATATCCTAATCATACCCACTTACCATAATTGACCCTTATTCATTGAACGCAATCACACCACACCAATTTTCTTAGGTCAATTCTGCAACGAGATTAAATTTTATTTGTTTATTTGATTTAATTGTTTATTAATTATCTATATTTTATAGATGGACTTATTTTAACAAACGCTGAAATTCAATAAGGATTTTTTCATTTCTAATATTGTTTTCTATTTCATTAATACAATACTCAACAGTTTAATAGTGATAACAATTTATATCTGTTAATTATTTGTTAATATCATTGTATGATTTAATTTTGAGATCATCTTCAATTAATTCAAATTGCTATAATTCCAATAATAAATCAAATTTTGATGCTTCCTAATTCAAAACAACAGCTCTTCCTTCCGTAAATTGCAATTCAAGTTAATTTTATCAAATAAATCTAAAAGTTGAAATTTGAAAGAGTGCACATGACTAGAGAATTTGTTGATTTGTTCAATAGCTAGCTAAATTGAGAAATAAATATATTTCTATTAATTATTCTTCTCTTCCAAAATCAAAGCTATTAGTTTTTATAAGGAGATTGCTTCACTTGTATTGTACAGTATTAACTTTTAAAACAATCTTCACAAAATAATCTATCTTCAAACCGTTATTTATTATTTAAGGATAGATAAAGTGAAGGATTATTTTGATGCTAACGGAAACATTTCAGAGAGCCAACATCCATCAGATTTTTTGGTTATTACATAAATGATAATTAATAATTATATAAATTATTCTAAAACTTTAGTAAATATTTAATTAGTATTTAAAATTCTTCTTAAGACTTTGATATGATTTTTTAACTACCAATGAAGCAATAATGGGATCATATTCAACAGATAAAAGCGAACTTTTTAATTACAATTATTATTCATTATCTTAAATTAATTTACAAGTAACTAAAAGAACCTATTGTAAATCCAAACTTTTTGCCGTCATAGATAAAATTTTTCAGAAGTTTTCGAAGATCATTCTCTTGGTAAATTGACTAAGCGATGTAGATTGTTTTGAATAATTTATTTAAGCCTTTTTAGAATTCTATTATTTGTTCACATGTCTCCTACACATCAAATCAGATCATAATCAGTTTAAGCTATTCTACATATAAGAAATTCAGGATCTGATTTATAATCGAAGAATTTTGCAATTTCTTTATAACTGGAGAAAATATCATATATTCCCAGAGAGCCAAATAAAAAAGTCATAAAGTTAAATATAAGCTACATCGACTTGTTCGAGTGATACTGCTTTTAGTTTCCTTTTCTCGTTATAGAATTTCACTTAGCCCTTATAGAATTATGAAATTCCATTATTTAAA